CATCTCTACAATAAATCAAAAAATCAGCCGGGTGTGGTGGCGCATGCCTGTAATTTCGGCTACTCGGCAGGCTGTGGCGGAAGGATCGCTGGAGCCCAGCAGGCCGAGGCTGCGGTGGCTGGGAGCAGTCACTGCACTCCAGTCTGGGCAATAGAGTGAGACTCCAACTCAAAAAACAAAAAACAAACAAAAAGTAATGTTGTGCACCATTCATTGGATATCGTGTCTGTTATCAGCTAATAGTATTCTCTCTGGCCATGAACTGCACCTGCAGAGTGATATGTCAGAGTGGAGAGTGGTATTCATCAAGATTTCATCACCCTTTTGGCAATGAGACCAGAACTGCACTTTTAGTACACATACTTTCGTGTCTATCCCGAGGAGGAAGTTAAATTTAGCACATTTCCTGCTAGTCACTGAACAGGGCAGTACCTCCTGGGTCTTAAGTTGAGTCACAGTCCTTTATGTCTGTCTGTGGAATCTGAACTTTTACATCACCAGGCCTTTGAGGAGCCTGAGTTTATGGCTTGATTGGTCACCATAAATCCTTGGAGTCCACCAGGAATGGTGCTGACTGGGTGCTATGTTCATAGTAATTTCTTAGACCCAGCCCTGGGAATGTTAGGAATGCCCCCATTAGAAATAGAATATGTGCATGTGTGTGTGTGTGCTCATGCGTGTGTGTACTGGAATGTGTGTGTGCTGGCTTGTGTCCAAGCCTGGGGCCCTGGTAGTTTAAACAGGCCACTCTGGGTACGAGTCTCAGACTCTTCTTGTACCTGCTCCTGAGGAATGTGTTTGCATCTTGCCCATTTTGGAGAAATCAGATCAGCATGTTGTGCAGCCTCCCAAAGAGAAGTGATTCCAGAATAAACAATATGAACTTTCAGAGGCACGGGCCCTACTCTACACAGGATTTCAGGATCAAGTATCAGAGACACAGAGTTCCTTAGACTAGTGCTTGCAGACACAGCATCACTCTCCTAGGAAAGTGCAGATTTCATGATCAGACTCCACCCAGGTTTACTGAATCAAAGTTTGGGGAGTACAGTCCAGGAATCTGTATTTTAAGAATATATCCCAGCCGGGCTCGGTGGCTCAGCCTGTAATCCCGTGCCTTTGGGAGGCTGAGGTGAGTGGATTGCCTGAGCCCGTGGGTTCGAGACCTGCCTGGGCAGCGAGACCTCATCTCTACAATAAATCAAAAAATCAGCCGGGCGTGGTGGCGCATGCCTATAATTCCGGCTACTTGGAAGGCTGAGGCAGAAGGATCGCCGGAGCCCAGCAGGTCGAGGCTGCGGTGGCCGGGAGCGGCCACTGCACTCCAGTGTGGGCCACAGAGTGAGACTCAACTCAAAAAAAAAAATCAAAAAAGAATATATCCCCCTCGCCAGGCACAGTGGCTCATTACTGTAATCCCAGTACTTTGGTAGGCTGAGGAGACAGGATTACTTGAGCCCAGGAGTTCGAGACTAACTTGGGCAACATAGCAAGACCTTGTCTTTATAAAAAATCAAGAGTAAGCCGGGCTCGGTGGCTCAGCCTGTAATCCTGCACCTTTGGGAGACTGAGGTGAGTGGGTTGCCTGAGTCCGTGGATTCGAGACCCGCCTGGGCAGCGAGACCTCATCTCTACAATAAATCAAAAAATTAGCCGGGTGTGGTAGCGTGCGCCTGTAGTTCCGGCTACTCGGAAGGCTGAGGAGGAAGGATCGCCGGAGCCCAGCAAGTCGAGGCTGTGGTGGCCGGGAGCGGCCACTGCACTCCAGTCTGGGCGACAGAGTGAGACTCCAACTCAAAAAAACAAACAAACAAAAAACAAGAGTAGCTAGGTGTACTACATGCCTGTAGTCCCAGCTACTTGGGAGGCTGAGGCATGAGGATCTCCTGAGCCCAGGAGGTTGAGGATGCGGTGAGCTGTGATCGTGCTGCTGCACTCCAGCCTGGATGACAGAGTGAGATTGTGACTCAAAAAAAAAAAAATTCCTATTGTTTTGTTATGTGAGCAGGTTTGGTAACCACTACCTCACTTGACCCATTCTATTTTTTTTTTTTTGAGTTGGAGTCTCACTCTGTTGCCCAGACTGGAGTGCAGTGGCCGCTCCTGGCCACCGCAGCCTCGACCTGCTGGGCTCTGGCGATCCTTCCGCCTCAGCCTTCCAAGTAGCTGGAATTACAGGCATGCACTACCACGCCCGGTTGATTTTTTGATTTATTGTAGAGATGGGGTCTCGCTGCCCAGGCGGGTCTCGAACCCGCAGGCTCAGGCAATCCACTCACCTCAGCCTCCCCAAGGTATGGGATTACAGGCTGAGCCACCGAGCCTGGCTTATTTTTTTTTTGAATGGAAGTCTTATTCTGCCGCCCAGGCTGGAGTGCAGTGGCATGCTCATGGCCACCGCAGCCTCGACTGCTGGGCTCAGGTGATCCTTCTGCCTTAGCCTTCCAAGCAGCTGGAACTACAGGCGTGCACTACCACACCCAACTAATTTTTTGATTTATTGTAGAGACGATGTCTCACCACGTTGCCCAGCCTGTTCTTGAACCTGTGAGCTCAGGTAATCTTCTTGCCTCTGCTTGCCAAAGTGCTGGAATTACAGGCGTGAGCCACCACACCTGGTTAACTTGACCCATTCTTTTCGAGGGTAGATAGCATGACTCAGTGTTGGCATTAAGTCATTTATATTTTACCTCCTAAACCTCAGGCATCTTTCTCTTCTGTGTCCACCAACCACCAGCCAAGTCCAAACTACCAGCATCTGGCAGGGAAGGACTCGTCCCCTCCGATCTGTACTCTACAGAGCAGCCAGTGGCTGTGTCAGTCTCAGATTCTGTCACACTCCCCACCCACCATAACCCTCACTTGTTCCTTTCCATGGGTTTTTAGGATGGACACAACATTCTTTACCTGGTCAGAGTGTCTGCTGAGCTACCTCCCCAGACTCATCTCCCAGCCACCCTCCCTGCTGGCAGGACTGCACAATTGCCATTCTGGCCAAAGACACTCCTCTCACTCGCATGGCTCTGCCTCAGGCTCGGCTGGCAGCAGGATGCTTTCCCAACTCTCCTGGGCAGCAGTTTTCATTTGCAATTTTACATCGATTTTCATAATACTCTCCAAGTAGACTGGAATTTCCCACGAAGGCAGGGACTATATGTTACTTCACTGTCATAGCCCTGGTGCTTGGCGTGGTGTAAGCGCTAAATACTTGCCCTCTCCTCCATACAGCAATCCTCAGTTAGAGAAGACAAGAGTCCTGGGATGGAGCAGAGTTCTGAAATTAGACCCAGGAGTTCCAGCTGCCTGTCTGCCCATTCATTCATTTATTGTGACACATGTAGTTTATGCGCCATTTAGAGCTGTGGAATCCTGGGTCTAGCTGGACTCAGCCATCACAGGGCAGGCACTGTTGGTAATGATTTTAATACTTTTTTTTTTGAACACCCGGCACTATCTCACTGCCCTTGGCTTGATCAAAACCAACATTTATTGAACAGGAGCTATGTGCCAGATGTGACCCTTGTCCTTGTGTGGATTAAGGTTTGGGAAGGAAAGAGACATTAAACGAGTAACTGCACGTTTATGAGTTTTACAAGAGGGGTAGTTGGGCATACCAAGGAGATGCAGAGCAGGGGATCCATGTCTGGGGAGTCAGAGGAAGGCATCCCTTTGTAAGGAGTATTTGGGCTGAGATCCAGATGGGTGGGAGTCAGAACAGGCTGTAGGGAGCAGCACATGTGTAGGCCCTCTGCACTCAGGAAAACAGGGATGTTGGTTTTTTGGTCAGGGTCTCACTCTGTCACCCAGGCTGGAGTGCAGTAGCATGCTCACGGCCACTGCAGCCTTGACCTGCTGAGCTCAAGTGATCCTTCTGCCTCAGTCTTCCAAGTAGCCGGAACTACAGGTGCACACCATGCTTGGCTAACTTTTTTGATTTTTTTGTAGAGACGAGGTCTTGCCAAGTTGCCCAGGCCGGTCTTGAACCCCTGGGCTCAGGCAATCCTCTAGCCTCCACCTCCCAAAGTGCTGGGATTACAGGTGTGAGGCAACTGCATCCAGTGCAAATAGGATATTTAATGGCCAGCAGGGAGTACCCCGTTCTGCCTAATTCTCCTGTGAATGGGGCGTTGGCCCATCACACTCTGGACCTCAACTCCTCATCCTCACGAATGGGTTGGCTGAGAGAGCCTGTGCTGACCCGGGCCCTGGTCTGGTCTGGAGGGCAAATGCTGCCCCAGACAGAGTGGTGGAGTGTCAGCAGGCACCTCTCAGGGCTTCCTTCTGTGACTCAGATGCCACAGGGGCTGTTGTGAATCCAGTACCACCTGGCACTCTGGTCAGAGTAATCTTTTTTTTTTTTTTTTTGG